ATACGTAAATGTATTTTACCTCCTCTATAAAAAAAACACACACACACACACCGTCGTACGGACATCATCGTAAAAATAGTCAGGGAAGCTTCCTGTGACCTTCGAACGTCGAGATCTGATGAAAACTCGATTTTTGTAAAACGGGGTGAAAACAATAACTTCCCGATTTTTGAAAATCTGAGATTTTTAGCGGGAAGTTAAAAGAAAAAGGTGGGATTCGAACCCTGATCCCTTCGCGTGTAATACTAGGGGTGTTCTCTCTGCGCCACTGTAAAAAAATTGAGGTAGCTCTTTTTCGAAAAAATTTTTTTTAGAAAATTTCTATAAAATTTATTCACGGGTGAGAAAATAAATTGAAAATTCAATTGCGACGTACTTCAAAAATACAATTAAAATGAACGTATGGATTAGACGAAAAAATTAATTTCTTTTAAATCAATGGATATGAAAAATAATTGCGACAAAATTTTATTAGCTATTAAAAATCCAATAATTAAATGCTTAAATTCTATGCACAGAAAATATATATATTTAAAATAAATATAAAAAAATAATCTGAAACCTTTTACGAATAATATTGAATCTTTACAAAGAAAAAGATACTTTAGAGGATTATTTTAAATGTATAACTAAAGTTATGAATGTACATTAATAATAAAAAACTTCTAACATTTAATGGTAAGAAAAAAAAATTTTTTTGAACATTACTTAAGTAGCATCTTTGGGAAGAATTAATCAATAAATATTATTTGATAAAAGTGCATTATAATGTTAAAGAAACGTCAAAAGTAGCGGAATATATTGATGGTATAAAATTTTTTTGATTTAAGTATCATACAGAAAGAAGGTGGTCGTAAACCCGCCACCCGCTTTATAGGTATTTATTCATATAAATAAGCAAGTTACAGCGGCATTATATATATATATATATATATATACATATAAAGGAACAACCGACCATATATGGATCATTTATAACCAAATCCATACACTGCATGTATAAATTTCCAGTAGCATCACACCTGCGCTGTACTTCACCGGAATTCAAAATAAATTTCTACCTCAATTTTAATCCTCTGATATAATAAAATGAAATAAAATAAAATAATTTAAGTGTACAAACAAAAAACCACTAAAATTTAACGCTGCTTACTTTAGAGGAATAATTAAAAAGATTCAACCTCCTTAAAAACTTTTTTAAAACTTCAAATTAATAACACCCAGCGCTCCACTGACCCAGAATAATTATTAACTACCCAAAACTTTTACGAACAATTATTTAATTAATCTACTTCTGTATTTATTTTTCAATATTTTTGCAAAAAGAAATTAGTTACAAAATCAGCGATTGCAAATTGAAAATTCTTAACGGATTTTAATGAAAATCAACATACTCATTTTTTGAATGATTTCCGAGGTTGAGCTTAAAAATGAACTAAATCGGTCGGGTAGTTTACAAATTACAGTAATTGAAAACTTTTTAATTTCTTCTTTTATGAAAAGTTAGCATTGTCATTTCTTATGAGTTCTTTTTTTCTAACCATGAGTAGCTTTTTTTAATAAAAAATTTTGAAAGAACCAAATTTTACTCCAACCAAAAAAAAGTTTAATTTTTTCAATTAGTCTTAATTAACAATCATTCTCAAAAATTTCTCATTAAAATTTATTACTTTTTATTATTATCAATCATGACAATTAAATTTTTCAATTTTCGTAAAAAATTTGAATATCTTGAATAAAAAAATTTCTCATTTTAAAAAAAAAATTCAAATCACCTATATGAAAATTAAGTTAGCCGACATTTAAAAATTTTTATAATTTTTTTTTATTGAACAAATCATTACATAAAAATAAAAAAAAAAATTGCACGTCTAAAAAACTTCAAAAACTGTAAGTGCAATTTCAAAAAAAATTTTTTTTGTTCTAATTTGATTGTTAAAAAAAAAATCAAAAAATTTAGAACGTCGGCTAACTTTAATGACATATCACCTATTTAATAAAATGTAACCACATCCATTTCAAGCATTTCAACTATCCTACAAATAGCATTTTTTGTTTCAATTATCAAATAATCTACCGTTAAATTAAAATTTAAAACAAGTAAAAAACTGGACCTCAGACAAATCCACTCCATATTTCTCAGTAGAAGAGAGTACTCGAAAAATTTTATAGACTCCGGGCAATAATCTCCTGAAAAATAGAATCTCGGATCCATCCATTGGGTTCCGGTGCCGTTATTTATGAATTTCGGATAATTTGATGTCAGACCAAGATTAAGTATCGTAAACCGTAGATGAAAAAGGGTATGAGTATTGATTAAGCCATAAACCATGAAAAAATGACGACAAAATAAATAAAGGAGCCAAGGAGCCAGAGGACAGAAGAACCGGAGCTGAATAGAAGTAAGAAGTTGAAATAGGAGCGAGCGCTCCGGAGACGAACAAGTAATAATGGTTTCAAAAAGTAGAGTAAGGTGGTAAGGTCAAGGGATTTGGTAAATGGAGTACTGTGCTGTGCGCTTTATATATACATCATATATACATATATGTTCGCGGTACGTATCGAATCGAGAAAGCAACTAAACCAAACCAAAGTAAAGCAAGTAGTGCAGAAGTATAGAGGTTTAAGCAGAAAGCAGCCCCTTATTCGCGTTAGGAAGCTTCCAAGCGACTGTTGCCGTTACATCTTAGCTCGTGTGATTCCGCGGATGCTCGGAAACGCCGGCGCCTGTGCCCGACGTCGCGACGCCGGGCGATCCAGGGTGTGAGGGACGTCGAGCGGGGTCACCCAGCAGCAAAGCCGTCCTTTTTGCGCGTTCACCCCGCCAGAAGGGTCTCGACTCTACCCTCGCTCGGACGCCGTTGTTCCTTCTCAACGTTAGTCAGCTACCTAACGTCATTAGTCGTTATTAATATTATTAATATTGTTATACACCCCCTCTATTTATTTTAACTCGCCAACTCATTTTAATTCAAAATAAAATTATTTATTAATTTTTATTTTGAGTGCTGAAAAATAAATCGGTCTTGTGGTAAGCCGGTTTAAGTGTCGCCGTTCAGTGTCCGGACTATCATTTTGTGATGTTCCTAATGAGTGAGTGTTTGTAAATATTAAGCCGAGCTTATTATTCTACTTATTGTATTTTATTAAAATTGTCGCGGGTGTTCAAGAAAGAAAATATCTGTCTGATTTTCTGTGATTATTTTATCTTCGTCGGGATAAATTTGTAATTTTGGTTGGAAAATTAATACAAAAGTTTCCATAATTTGAGAGTCATTAGTTTGTTATTATTGGTAATTATTAGAATTTTTGGCCGCTGGTTTATTGTTATAAATATTTTGTAACGAAGAACGCTCGCCGCGGCGATAAATCGCCCGACGATGCTGACCATGTCAACTTTGATGATGCCAACCACTATCACGACCATCACCAACCCAGGACCTATTTCGACGGCGAGTGTTCCGCAGAAAAGTGAAAATAAGTTGACTACTACCGCCAGTCTGAGTCATCCCGCCTCTGCAGTCAACAGTAAATCAGGTGCTTATTTTTAGTTTTATTTTTATGTTTTTCCGTGGTCAGGTTGGTTCTTTTTTTTTACTCACGTAATTTAAATGACCAATTTATTTAAATTGGACTTTGGGTTAGGGTTGATTGATTGGTTTGTGGGACTTTTGGTTTATTTTTTATGATGTTGGAGAAAACTTTAATTATTTTGACGAAATTCAGCATACTTATTCTTTGGAGCATTGTCGAGGTCAGGATTCAAGATTAACGGAATTGGTTGGTTACTTTTGAGACTCCAGAAATTGGAAATAAAAAAAAAAAACTTTCTTTTAATTATTACACTTAATTCAGTAGAGTGATTATCATTTTGAGATTTTATTTAACAAATAAAATTATTTTTAAAATAATAATTGAATTGATATTTTATCAATTTCTATAATTTTTCAATTAAAAAAAATTTTTTGAGGTTTTGCTTCGAGTTGGTTAAAAGTAACGATACCAAAAATTTATTAAAGTACTATTATTATTATTTGAAAAAAAATTTAATACAAATCATTATCGAGTTGCTGTAAAAATGGCTATAACTCTTAAAATATTGATTTTTGGAAAAAAAATCATAAATGACCAAAGTTATAGCTTGGAAAATTTCCTACAGTAAATGTTATCACACTTTTGGGCTATAATCAATATTTTAAGAGAGATAATAACAGAAATAGTGCTCAGATAGTAAAGAATAAAAAATCATTATCTATTTGATATAAAAAAGTTATAACTTCTTAAATATTGATTTTTAGAAAAAATTATGAGTCAAAAGTTGTAGCAAAAAATGTTTTGATACTATCGGGCTATCTTCAATATTTTAATGAGATACAGTATCTTAAGTATCCTCATTATCTACTCACTATAAAAATGATAACCTTTAAAATATTGATTTAAGAGAAAAATATTATCATTATTTTCTTTTAATTTTTATTTTTTGGTTTTGGGTATAATTATGATAACAACAAAAACAATAATAATAATGAGAATAATTGATAGTAAGAACAGGTCAAAAGGTCAAGAGTATAAGATGCAGAATAGCAATTGTTAGATTAAATGAATAAAGGAATGGCGAGTGTGAGGTGGTAGAGGAGGGGTGAGGGGGAGGATGAGGATAGTTTTGTTTAAGTGGGTCTTAATTGTTAGTGAGTTGTTCTTATGTTGAGCACGGTTAATCTGGTTAAATTCAGTTTAAGGTTGTAATGATATTCGTGAGCCAGAATTAAGAGATAAAAGGGATGAGCGGGAAAGATAAAAGTTTGAGGAGCCGATTGATAGCTTTAGCTTCGGATTACCCTCAGGATGCTTCTGTATTTAATAATATGTATTTTGACGTATTTAATAATATAAATGAAGTATGACTTTTATGGCCGGGTTTAAATTTTAAATATCATAGATTAAGAAAAAAATATAACCCTGTCGATGGCGTGAATAAAAAATAACAATATTCGAAGCATACAAAAAGTATAAGTGTAGTAGAGCAAGTATTGAATTAATATCCCGACAAATATTTCATCGTATCGGATTTATTTCTTGGAAAGTTTACTCGACTTTCAAAAAGTTGTAAACTCGGTCTTTATTCGAGTCTGACAAGTACATTTCCTCTGAAAGCTGATCATATCCATAAATTTATGGGTTATTTACAGCTCGGATAATTAAAAAAAGTTTCATTAAATTTATGATTTTAAGTTTAATACTTCTAGTTTATTAACTTTTTAATAAAACAATACTTTATTATCATCATTATTGTTATTATTTTATTATAATTTTTTAAATTAAGCTGGATTATTACACTGCAGATAAATTTTTTTTAATATGCTAATTTTAGCAGAACATCCAATCTATTTTACTATTTAATCGCTTATTTGTATCTGAGCATTTACAAACGGAAACTACTCATAATAAAATTTTCTTTAGTGATATATGGCCAATTTTTTAATATGATTTAGTCATATATTTGTAATATTGTTGTTGTTTTTTTTTTTTATAAAAATGTGTATAACAATTCACATAGTTTATTTAAAAAAAAAAAAAAATTGGTCAAGTAGTTAATTGAATAAAAAATTAATGTCAAATAAGCTCCTTAAGAAAGTTAAAAAAATTTTTTTACTAAGAATTTAACTCCTCTCAAACTTAAGTCTCTCCTAAGGAGATGATTTAGCGACAATACGCCATCTATTGAAAATTTTCTATACTACTTTTGCTATAAAAATTACATTTGAGCATAAGTAGCCATATAAAAAAATTTTTTCACGGGCAATTAAAACAAATTAATAATTTTATATTTATATCTGCAAATTACATGCAATATTGTATTCAAGTCATTGACATTATAACATTCGTAAAAATAATGATAATGTTAATTTTACCTCAGGCTATTACATATTTATAACTCAATTATGTTTATTTGCATTTATATTAATTCAAATAATGATAATAATAATAGAAGTGTTAAATTGTAAAAATTCTTTTTGAAAATGCCAAGTACAAGCACAAGTGCATAAAAAAATGAGGTCGTGTAAATAAAGAATGTTAAAAGAAATAAATATTTGAAACAAAGTTGAAACAATGAAAGGAGTTGTTAATACTATGAATATGTTAGCACACTGGAGTGTATGCGCATTAGCTATGTATATACTAAAACTTTTCATGTAGATATATGCCTGTATATATTTGTATGTGTAGACAATATAAGTACAAATGTAGTGCATGTATGAAAAGGGACACGAAAGCCAAATAAAGGAGCAAGACAAGCATGAAGATCTAGATCCACTTGGGTGACCGATCAAAATCTTTAGCTTTCTCTCTTTGGTTACTGTCCGAGCCAACGCGGGCGACTTCCTTCCTCAATCCCTCCGTCCCTTTCCCTTCTAAGCGCCCACTAAATCTAACCAGTCAACTAAGGAGGACCGAGGATTGCAACTGCTGAAAAGCTATAGCTCCTTCTCGGGTATGTTTAACTGTAACTAGGGGAAAAACGCCGAAGAGAGATGAGAATAACTGTATCTATGTATATATACTGTCTGTGATTTGGCTTGATGCCCTGCGAAATTTCAGTCCCCTTTTCCTCCGGGGATAAATCTGAGTTTTGGCGCGATCAACCAGGAAAGGAAGGCAAGCTACCAAAGAAAAGGGGCAACCAGAGTAATAACTATAAGACTCAACGGGTGTTCCGTTCCTTTCTCTTATAAATTTCAGCCCTCTCTCTCGGGCTCTCATTGAACCGCGGGTATCTAACTCAACTCTCGGAGCTGAGACAATTCACTTTTGGAGAGAAATCACGCCAAATCTCGGTTGTGTCCACCACTCATTTTTGGATTACCAAAAAACTAACAAAATTTATTGGGATTAAGAAAACGCTCTCTTTTTATTATTATTTAACGCTGTTATTTTGTACCAACAAAAAACTTGCTTGATAATTTAGGAGAAATTATTTAGAGAGAAGAAAAATGCGGAGTGGATGATTTTTAATTTATTTGTTTGCTCTGGAGTGAAATTCACTCCGAGAGGATTTCATTTGTGTTATTAATAAAAAAAACTTCGCGAAATAAATTCTTCTTTTTTTTTTTTCTTTGATGAAAGAAATATATTTTAATATTTAAAACGATTAAATCAATATTTTTTTTAATTTTTACAAGTAGCATTTTTTGAGAAATTCTCTATAATAATTTATTTGTAAAGAAAACTTAAAAATTTCCATATAAAAATTAATTTCAATTGCTTCAAATGATTAATTTTATTTAATTAAATATATTAATGTTAATAATTGATTATTTTTTACTTTTAACGTCAGGATTTTTCAACAAGACTTGAAAACAAAATAATCTTTATGAAAATTTGGTTAAATGTTCTGAAATTTTTGGAAAAATACAATTAATATTTTCAAACTTAAACTTGAGGTAAATTTTTTAAAGTATTTGTTAATAATTTTGAAACTTGTTTCAGCTAAATAAAAATTTATTTTAGTACAACAACTTCGTACTCGGATATTTTTCTGATTAAAATCCATATTCACTCTCAATTATTTACAGTATACTATTCAAATTGTAATTTTTTTCTGTAGTGCAAAGATGATAATAATAAAAATAAATATAGTCGACTAGCAGCTTGATGGAAGCCGTTTTTTACAATATTTTTGTTTTTCCTGAGCGAGCTTTTTCATTTAACGCGAAGCGTAAGACGGTGCTTGAGAAATAATGTATATGTGTCTAAGATTAAAAGGCATATCCGTATTGTTCTTTACTCAAAAATGAAAGTTGTCTTTTTATGGAGTAACAGCAGCGAGTCAAGTATCCCCGAGATAGGGTACTTCCTATAATTAATGAAATTATGAATTTAATCCTTCTAATGGGAGAGAAAATGCCGAGAAGAGGGCGGGATATGCTATACAGAGAAAAGTTTAAGAGAAAGAAAATTAGATGAGCTGAAAGTTGTTCTTATATATTAATATATAAATATATATAGATATTTACTTTTGTACAGTAACCTTTTTTATTTTTAGCGAGAAAATTTCATTTTATCAAAATGTTGAGTACCGTTTAATTAGTATTTCTATACTTTGTAATTTACTTTTCTTCACGAAATGCACCAAGTAATTTAATCATTGTTTGTATTTTTTGGCTATGTAATAAAATATTTCTGATTATATCTAAGGAGTTTTTAGGTCAATTATCAACTTTAAAGTTCTTTGATAATAAATTATAGTGTAAAATTTTAATAAAAAATAATAAAACCGGCGACGTTAGCCGAGTGGTCAAAGGCGCACTATATGTATAGAGCACTCAAGCTAACTCACCGGCCAGGCGTAGGTTCGAATCCCAAGTTGGTCTTAGAAACCAGCTTGGTTGAGATTTGACCCTTTTCGCGTTAGGTTAAGATTTTCATAATTAAAAAAGACCCCAACGTACCACTCCCAACAGTTAAAAGTCGGCGATGTGATCACATCTGTTAAAACCGACTCTAAATAAAAATTAAATAATTTCTATTAAATTTTTACGCTATCATCGAT